GACAAGGAATATTCTACGAAATCCGAGGTGTACCGGTATATATTTCCAGAACAGCTTTATCTTTCGTACTGTTTAAAATTTAAGTTTAAATATTTGTTTCCTTCTACACATTTCGATATCCCATTCTGTTACATCGCATCGTTGCTTTGCCAAGTATTATGCCTTCGATCGATATTCATAATCCGACGTGAACCAGTCAGCGAACGAAACTTTCCGGTAGAGATATATAAATTTCTTACCTGATATCAGGGAAAGCAATCCGATCAACAGAAGAAGGTCCATCGTGCTGTCGCGAAAATCTCGCTTCTCTATTCTGCATCCGCTACTAGGTCGTCGCTACTTCTGTGTCATCCTCCGTGTCATAGACTCGTTTCTGGTAAATCCACTTGTCGATATCGCACAGTCTTTGCTTCAGTCGTTGTTCTTCACCGAATCACAGACAAACCCAAACTTCCCCCTTCCTATCGATCTCGTTTCAAATAATAATTTCTTTCGGCCGGATTGGAAGATTGTGTCCCATGAAAAGGCTGAGAAATTTGCGAAAGATCTACGAAAGTTTCACGAGAACTTGACAAAAGTTTCACGAAAGTTTTGTAGGAATTTGACAAGAATTTCACTAGAGTTTCGAGAGTTTCGAGAATTAAACAAGATTCAATAGAAATTTCACGAGAGTTCAACGAAGATTCAATGGATTCACAAGAGTTGTGAAAGTTTGAAGGATTGAACGAGAGTTAAATGGGGATTTCACGATAGTTCCACGCGAATTCAATCGGGATTTTAACAGAGTTCCACGCGAATTCAACAGGAATTTGCGAGAGTTCCGAAAGGGAAAACTCCGAGAATTGAATGAGAACTTATTGAAAAGTGCACAAGAGTTTAACGATTATCCAATGGTAATTTTACGCGAGTCCAATAGGAATTCTACGCGAATCCAATAGGAATTCCACGCGAATCCGATAGGAATTCCACGCGAATCCGATAGGAATTCCACGCGAATTCCAAGCAATACGTTAGAGCTAGGTCGGCGAATAAATGTCGCGGAGGAGAGTCGTGCACGACACACTGGTGAAGGTAGCCGGTAGACGAGGAGGAAGATTTAGCAAGCGACAGAGACGACGGAGTCGACGATGCGGAGCGGCACACGGTGTTGTTAACTAAGCTGCCGCTGTTCGCGGGGCTGTGTGACACGCTGCATAGAGCGCGGTACGAGACCAGTTCGAAGACTGAGTACGAGTCCATATCCCGGAGGCTGACTTCTCTCAGCCCTACCAGGGTACGCCGTACAGTAATGTCCGTCCATTGCCCGCCTCTGGATAACGTTTCCTTCCACCATTAGGCAACACACGCGATACACGCTTCGCCGTGAGACACGCCGTGCTCCCCGTGTCCTCACGCGGGGGGACCATCGCAGGATTATCACGGATCTTTCGGAGGACCCTCTCTCCTTCTCTTCCTTGTCCTTTCTTTCTTCCGAGACAGCAGACCTACTAGCAACGAAACGATAAGCTTCTATGTAAATTGAAATAAATCAGTTGTTCAAATAAATTTTAAGTATATTCAAATAAATAAGAATGTTATTTGAGAAGCCACACTGAACAACTGCATAAATAGGAAAGTACAAATAAATGTTATTGTTACAGACGCTGTTTCTCGAATTTACAGCGGCTCGAAGAAGTGTTCGAACACTTGCTACATAATTTCTATGAATATATTGGTACTATGTGCATTAAAAGAAACTTTTTAATATTTCGAAAATGAGATACAACTATCGTGATTGTAAGAGCAAAAGTTGGAATCAGTTCAAGAATGTACATGGAAGTTACAAGACGTTTGTTGCAAACATAAACATAAGAAAAATTAATATTCAGTTGTCTTACACATACCATTAGTGCTGAAGGTGGTCCCACTGCAAATTGTGGCTTATTAATATAGCGAATGATCGACTGTTGAAACACGTTGACGATCTTTACGAAATGTATGCTTTCAGATCCGTTTCAAATTTGACTACTATAATCGTGTCTACTTACAATGCTAATGAAATTTTTTAATGTTTTCTATAATATATACGTGGAAAGTTTCTAGGAGTGTTGATATACTTTTGTGAGGCACTGTACTTTGTTCATTGTCATCATCTTGCGATGAATGAAATTATGTAAGTTGATAATTTGTTCTTTTATAATTGCACATTAAATGTGCATTTAATGAGAAGAAGGAATTGATAAAAAGTAGCGTTGAGCAATTTGCCTTTTGAGAGGCTCGTTTAATTTAAGTAAATTACAGATAATGTGCATTAGAGTAATATTAGAAAGATTAAAAGTTATTTTTACATTACAAGTTAGAAAGATTAGAGTTATTTTTGGAAATAATCCAGAGCCCAGTTCAGACTCCAATTTCTCTCTCTCTCTCTCTCTCTCTCTCTCTCTCTCTCTCTCAAATATATTTGATTTAAATGTATCATAAATTAAATATTTAGCTAAATTGCTAATTAACATTTTCGCTAAAACTAATTTTCATTTTGATTTACCAAGCAAAATGATTCGTATTTACAGATGAACTTATCTAATCGTGTTTGCTAGCAAAATGCGAGTTACATTCGCGTTAATTACGCGGACGATACGATTTAATCAAAATTTTAATCCGACCACGCGAAAGTTAATTGCACGTTTTATCGCGATATAAATTATGCTGAAACCGCGAGGCATTTTTTTCTCCACACTTACGGCTACGTATCAGGAAATGCAGTAATGTTAGCAGAAAATTTTTGAAACAACCACAAAGCGAAGAAAATGATAGAAGAGGATAAGAAAGAATAAGGAATTAACACGTTAATAAACTTGAAAATTTTGTCTATAATTTCTTCGATGGTTATCCTGCAATGTATATACGTCATGGCCAGAAAGAGAAAACGCATCTTTTGTAACGAAAATTATAGTTACTTAGACCCACCGAAAGCGTTATTCCCGCGGTTGGACTCGAAACGAGGAAAATTAATTAGAACGGAGAGCTGAGAAACGACTTAACACGATTAAGCGGTGAAAGGCGGTGTTTCGAATGATAATTAGTGCCAGGAGAGTACGAAAAATTCATTTCGTTTTGCCGCTTATCCGAAATTGAGTTACGGTTAAGTTTTAATTGAACATTGTACCGCACCTGTATGTTACCTGTATACTGTATACTAATCATCATCTTCACGTTTCAGTTTGACAATAAAAATAATAAGATATATGTATCTGTAATGTATATGTATATACGTGTTTATAAATATATATATACATATTTATTTACATACACATTATACATTACATATATCTTATGTATATAATGAATAACAAAAATGTACTATATTATATTTAATATAGATAACGCAGAAGAAAAATAAAAGATACAAGTTTTTCATGCCACTTATACAAGGTAAAAGGAATTATAGCTTTATTAGTTGAAAAACATACATGATCTTTGGATTACATAAAAACAATAACGACGACTATATAAATATAATTTTCCGAATTTACTAATAAGTAATAACATTGTAATAATATACTTAAAAAACTTTGTTCAAAATATGATGATTATACAAAAAAAAAGGTGTCTAAAGTCCACTCCAATTTTGTGTCACCTAATTAAAGATAAAAATGTATAGAAAATAATTTAAAAATAAATAATACATGTAATTATTACAGTATTTAGATTACAGTTGCATTATTTATTGTTAATAATCATAATTAATTTATTTATTTATTGTATAGATACATTTCAGTAAGTTAAAATGCTAAAACTTAAATTACAGAATTTAAGTCGCTTTAAACGTCAGAAAATATTCCAACTTTCTGAAAGGGAAGATTCGTTGAAACAGAGCTACTGTAAAGCTCTTGAAACAACATGATAATAACAGACATATACCGTACAGTATTAAAGTACCATAGTGTATTCCTGTGTATGAAGATTTCAAGTACAACAGAATTGAACTGTAATTTTCGTAATTTCGACGATGGTATTAAACTGCTGGGCGGAGCTGGAACACTCGAAAATTCGTTCATGTTTCGTCAGCGCGTGAAAATTTTAATCGAATTGCTGCCCACGTGCATCTGACCAGCTGAAGTATAAATAATTGTAGGCTGACCGTCCGTCGCCAGTGTCACTGACCATTACGCATCGCCTCGTTCAATTTCTTCCAATTTATATAAAATACGAGACGTACAAATAATATGCTTATTCTCATTCGTATTATCACAATTAACGTTGCAAATTAATACGCTCGAAAAGAACAAATACATTGAACAACTATATATATTGTTTAGATTAGAAACGAATATGATGTATAATCATAAATTTTTGTATGGCTCTAATCGATTTAAGGTCAAAGTACAACGAGAAAATATTTCTTGTAGAGAGCTAGTTTTGTATTACTATTACGTATTCTACTACAAGATTTCTTTGTTAGATAAACAATATCGTAATTTATTTTAAAAATTAGTGTAATACGTTATATTGTACGATACTATAATACAAATTAAAGAATATAATATAAAATCTATATAAAAAAAATGTAATATTCCAATGTATTTAATTCGTATTGTAGATAATAGCTTACAGTTCACTGGGAAATAAATCCTTAGGGAAGATTATTATTCTTTCTTATTTATTCAAGCTTTAGTCCATGGGCGTACCTACCCCTTTTGAATACAAATACATAACAATTACATTATAACTAATAAATATTCACTTCAAAATCCTACTGACGCGACATCTGAACGAAACGATCAGAAATCATTGACATCCAAATACCTTATCATTTCACTTTTATACTTGCACCAATACATCAAATTTTCAATTATAAAACTAAATTAAGTCTTAAGCAAGATTATTATATACAACACAGATTATATACAATAAATTTTAAACGAGAATATCATAACATGAATAATTTTTAATTTAAATTAAATGAATCTATGCTGTAAATTTATTATCCTTAGGAAGGAATAATATAAATGAGAAAAAAGCTATTTATAATCCATTTATTTCAAGTAAATACTTAATAAGATTATATATCACGCAATCAATAGCTATGATGGCTAAAAGTAAAAAAATTAGTTTCTATTTACTTAATATAATTTTTTAAATTAAGGTGCGATCAATATATTAAATCATCGGCCACCACGAAGGCGAAGAACAAGATGAAGAGTTGACTCCTTTTGAATATTATAGTCGGACAGCGTGCGACCGTCCTCCAATTGTTTACCAGCGAAGATCAATCTCTGTTGATCGGGTGGAATACCTTCTTTATCCTGAATCTTGGCCTTGACATTTTCGATAGTGTCTGAAGCCTCCACTTCTAGAGTTATCGTTTTCCCAGTAAGGGTTTTTACAAAAATTTGCATTCCTCCTCTGAGACGAAGAACAAGGTGAAGAGTCGATTCCTTCTGAATATTGTAATCTGATAGTGTGCGTCCATCTTCCAGTTGTTTACCCGCAAAAATCAATCTCTGTTGATCCGGCGATCTGGCGGAATACCTTCTTTATCCTGAATCTTGGCCTTGACATTTTCGATAGTGTCTGAAGCCTCCACTTCTAGAGTTATCGTTTTCCCAGTAAGGGTTTTTACAAAAATTTGCATTCCTCCTCTCAGACGAAGTACAAGATGCAGGGTTGATTCCTTTTGTATATTGTAATCAGAGAGTGTGCGCCCATCTTCAAGTTGCTTTCCAGCAAAGATCAATCTTTGTTGGTCTGGAGGAATTCCTTCTTTGTCTTGAATTTTTGCTTTTACATTTTCTATCGTATCGGAAGCTTCAACTTCAAGTGTGATAGTTTTTCCTGTAAGGGTCTTCACGAAAATTTGCATACCACCACGAAGGCGAAGAACAAGGTGAAGAGTCGATTCTTTTTGAATATTATAGTCTGACAGCGTGCGTCCGTCTTCCAATTGTTTACCAGCGAAGATCAATCTCTGTTGATCTGGCGGAATACCTTCTTTATCCTGAATCTTGGCCTTAACATTTTCAATAGTGTCTGAAGCCTCAACTTCTAGAGTTATCGTTTTTCCTGTAAGGGTCTTGACGAAAATTTGCATACCACCACGAAGGCGAAGAACAAGGTGAAGAGTCGATTCTTTTTGAATATTATAGTCTGACAGCGTGCGTCCGTCTTCCAATTGTTTACCAGCGAAGATCAATCTCTGTTGATCTGGCGGAATACCTTCTTTATCCTGAATCTTGGCCTTGACATTTTCAATAGTGTCTGAAGCCTCAACTTCCAGAGTTATCGTTTTTCCTGTAAGGGTTTTTACAAAAATTTGCATTCCTCCTCTGAGACGAAGAACAAGATGAAGAGTCGATTCCTTTTGAATATTATAGTCTGACAGCGTGCGTCCGTCTTCCAATTGTTTACCAGCGAAGATCAATCTTTGTTGATCCGGT